AAGAAACGCAGAGAAAAAAAATTTAGAAAAGGAACAAATTGGAAGATACTGAACAAACAAAGAAGACTACATCTATTCTGCTGCAAATATTTATACAGGAAACAAGCGAATGCCACCATAATCTCGAGCCGAAATCTAAAGTGACGAGACATCGTGTTCAAGCTTATGAAGAATGGTACACTCAACTGCATGATTGCATAACTCTTGCTTTTGCCGGTGGTAGTTACGAGCCTGGAATCCTGCCAAAACGCAGTACACTCACAAGATAGAGGTACGAATCGAAACAATTCAGTTACATCGGACCACTAGCTACCCCATTTGCGTGATTTAGCCCAGTTAAGGCTAGCACATCGTTTGGGAATGCAGACTCGATTAGCGTGTCAGTACATATTTGCGTTCAACAATTGAGGAAAAGAAATTTATTCTCCTTATCTAACTCAACAGCAAATTTGGTATTGCTATCTTTTCTGTTTATCAATTCAAGTAATTCACGCATATTATATTTGCCGTATTGCCAAACGGCAGAGTAGGAGTTCCTCTTGAAACACACGAACTTATAATTGGTCCATGTACTTATTAACAAAAGTTGCGGTTACACAAGAGCTCATAGCCAAGCCCTGTGTTTCTTCATACAACTTACCATTGGAGGTGTGTAGTATTCATTGGCAAATTGACTGATTTGATAATTGGATCTGTCTGAATTTTTATCTCTTATGAGCTCAAGATGCTTATCTAGAATAAACTCGAAGGCCTTGATTATCTCGTTTGTCAGATTGTTAGTGTGCATAGACACTATGTCGAGACTCACCAGCGAATATCCTCTTCTATCGTCTGATCAGCAACTAACTTTATAAAGTCTTAAGAGTTCCTTATCGAAAATTTCCACGTTTCGGAGATTTACTCTAATTGAGTACAAATAGATCGTCATTTTTATGCTTCATGACACCTCTATTATTTACAATAATTAGAAATGGGATACCTTCCTTATGAATTTTGGATAAACCGTACGCTTTTTGGGGTCTTTCATCTCGCTGAGGAAGGGTGTACATTTTCCACTTTTCCCGTTCTCCACCGTTTACCCATTGCGAACTTAAAGGATCAGATAAGATTTGCCTGAGCCTGTTATTAATTATAATTAATGATTGCAGCTTTGTAATGTTTGCCTTAAGTCTAATATCAACCAATTCATAGCATAAGCCTAAAAGATTAGTCTTAGTCTTGCAAAATAAATTTGATCTGGAAACAATATAAAATCTAGAGATAATTCTATGTGAAGAGCAAACCTTCAAAAAAACGAATGCAGTTGACTTGCCTGATTAACAATTTCTTAATTTTACCATATAATAAAGAATTCCAAAAAGCGGGGACCGTACTTACTTCGAGGATGTGAAGAATGTATGTGAACACAAAACTGCTTGTCAAGGTAAATGCATCCACAAATCTGAGCTCGTTGAATTCATGACCAATACAAGACACTCAATAGACCGGTCAAAAACATAACATTTTGCTGATTACAGGGACTTTCAATTTAAGCATCAGATTAGGAAATCTATAGAAATTAAAAAAGAAACTAACATCTTGAATACGAGAAACAAAGGTAGGAAACCGAGTATGACTGTGTATGGTTGTTCGCTCGGCTTAAGGAGAGCGAGAGAGAGAGAAAAGAAGTCTGCAAGAAGACCGACTAAGCAAAAGAAAAAGGCCTCATTAACCTCGAGTAGAAAAGAATATTAGATCAAAATCTGAGATTCGTAAAGAAATCCGAGTGAATATCTGCTGATTTATGTTAGAATAGACGTGAATAGGAAAGTGTCGAAAATATCGTCTCTTTAATACTCCCATGGTCATTAAAATGACCCTCAATGATCATCTCAATCCTTAACAATTAATGTTGGGTCTGTAGACTGTCCGTTGTTAGTGTGAGGTAAATAAAGAATGAGTTAGGAGTGATAGAGAAAAAATAAACAAGATATTGCTTGTGATTTACATATAATCACGAATACTACTCGCATCGAATATAAGCAACGTCGTAGATTGTAACGAAAAATACAAGTTCGTCTCTAAAAAATATCATTATAAGGTGATTTAAAACAGGCCTTAAAAGTCGTTTGCTCTATGATCCACTGAAATGCCCACGTTGCTGTGTAACATATTGCAATGTTTCACTATTTTACGCGCATGACCCACTTTAAAATTCCGTCGTCGGAGATGATCGAAACTCCAGTCCCCACATAATGAAGAAACCTTTGAAGAGGCAATATTAGACGAAATTAAATTGCATCATATAGCCTAATCATTCAATCATAGGTAAATTCAACCACCATCCACTACATCTCCTTAAGCAAATTAGACTGACTAAAGTTCCTATACAATATTTACTGTTGACCTGGAAAATACTCAAATCGAATGTACAAAATTAGTTTGTAGCTTTTAAATGAAATGCAAACATAGGAATGGATGAAAAAAATGATTCACTAGGCAAGAGCCAAAAAAGGTGAAGTGATTCAAACACGAGGTTTCTTTAGGACTTTGTCAGATATTTCAGTAAATGTATATTGTTGCTTAAAACATCCCTCGATTTTGCGTACTGTTTGCATCTTGAAGCGTCGATGCTAATGTGCAAGTATCACGTTTTTGACAAATTCTACTCGTTATAGATGTGTTTTATCAACTGATGTAAGAGTTTACAACAATAGTGATGCAAATCAAGTCTCACGTCTAATACTATGGAAAAACTGTAAAATGATGACGATGAGGCTGATGGCGAGAGCTGACAGCTGATCTTAAAGTGGATCTAGATATTATTCGGAGAGAGATTTAAACTAAACAAAATAAAAAAGGTTGTAAGATGTCAGTAAAGAGTGACACAAGGAGGATCTTAAGTCGAGGATTTATGTTACCAGGCGCGTCAGAAACAGAGGGGCATAGAGCAACAAAAACATGAACACAAGTGCATGCGCTATAAAACGAAAGTCCTTGTACATAAAGTAAACAGTAACTTTATGCAACTTTAAAAAATGCTGATTCAAATTGAAGTATGTAATAGAAAAAACGGCTATAAGTGAACGAAATTATATTTGGCTGGTCTGGGAGCGAGATTCATGGCTAGATAAATTTAAAATCACTTGAATTCAAGTTACAAGGGAAGCAGGGATTCGTGTGAATGGTATGTTAAGTCAATAAGGCTATTACCAAGATGATGATGGATTAACGGATGAGTCGAGGGGTGGAAAAAACAGATGAGCTAAGGAAATTATTATGGACAAAATATACATAGTCATTTATTCGACAAGGGAAATTGTGAACGTAATAGATGTCTGTATCTAGGCCAATTTCAGACTCTAAGGAGATGAATCCGTGTGTATGTATGTGTGCGAACACGTGTCTTTAAGTGTAAAAAGTGTCTGTCCATAGTTCAAACTAAGCGTATCGCATAAAACGGAGGTACTATTTGAATAGTAGATAAAACAGATCAACTTAATTCAATATTCCAGTTAGAACTTTTGGTGAAACTTAGATGAAATCTAAGAAAATGATTTTAATATTCAATAATTAGTCGAATCCGACAAGGATTCAGATATTATTTTCAATATCCAGCTAAGAGCCAATAATATCTGATTTTACGTGGGAGGTGAATTCCTTCCGGTAGCTAACAAAGTAGTCAGTAGGCGGCAAGGAAAAAGTAATAAACAAATAAGATGGTCAGATTGAGTTTCAATTATTCGATCTGCATGAGTTTTGTCACTTGTCGACAAGTTCTAGCATGAGATGCTGTAAATACGAGTTTTACTTATTAATATGACCTGGAGGAATTGCTTTCTTTTGTACAGTGAAGTTTTGATGTTAACTATATAAACGAAAGCATGGAACACTGATGGAAAAGTGAAAGTTCCTAGTAGTCCCTAGTAGTTGGGGCAAAATCTCTACTAAATTTTCCCACAATGAAATGAGCAAGCCTCAAGATGTCTCCATAAAGGTATTATCATCACCTTAAGTGGCCTATGGTGAAGATATCTTATTCCGAAGAGTCTCAGGCCCACAAATAACAATAAGTGCGAAATAATCATGGAAATATACGAAGAGTAAATAGTCTAAATGAATCTCCATATGGTGGTGACTTTCAGTTCATATAAAAATTTCAGATGAATAGATTTAAAGGTCGATCTCACCAGCGAATGACGGCCGATTCCTCGACGGCGTCAAACCTGAAGCTGTGGCAAAGCCAAATTACCACAGAACACTTGGAATCGGATATCGTCTTTTAGAGAAATCGACCTAAAATCTGTCCATAAGGCACTTTTACACGAACTGAAATTCACAACAGTGGGCATATCTAGAATGGTCCCACAATTCGGCTCCAACCCCTCCAGCTCCACTCACAGTAACTTTGTATTTGATGCAATCTGTCCAGAATTGGCTGGCACTGAACTTGCGCCGGATCACTTGCTGATTGCCGAAGAAGACCAACTGTCCAACGCCTATTAGGCCTCCGGCCGTATGATAAAGAGGCAAGGGGGTGTAAAGTATGTCGTCACGCGAAAGACCGATCATATACCTTGCTCCTGCTGAGAGGGCGATGAACCGAGTCAATGTGATGATGGCTGCCTGATGAAAGGAGAGAAATAAAAGAGAAAAGAACATGGCTTACAAATGCTTCTAGAAGAAGCGCCCTATTTATGATAGTTCATTGTGTTGGTACAGAAACACATTAGACAGAGAAGACGACTTTAGGAGAAAATGTGTGAGTATCTCCTAAAATAGGTAAAAGTGCCAATCATCGAACAGGCGACACGAAGACAATAAAACTATTTAAACCCAATTCAAGTACACGTAATTAATGCATGTTTATAACTTCATCAGCATGCATAAATCAAATGAATTTCTGATATTGCACTAAAGACTATTATTAATGAAAGGAAAATATTAGTTGATTCCGCATTTCCTCAGTTAATGATTTCTATTGACGATATTTGGCCGAGTTATTTTAAAATAGCATGTGTTAAAAATGTTTCCCACCGCGATTAATTGAGGAAAAAACTCATTCTTCATATTAATGAAGCGATGATTATTAAGAACTGAGAACGAGGGGCGAGTAGCAATATATTTCAGAATGCAAAAGGGTCCATACAATTCAATTACGAGAAAAATGAGAGTCGAGGAATATTCTAAAGGATAATCAATTATGAAGAAAAACTGTATTTTGAAGTATTCTTTACTGACGTATTTTGATATGACGTTCCATTTCGAAGGAAAAGTTGGTTGGAAGAAATTCTTGATGTGGTCTCGCAGGAAACCGAAGGAGTATTGCCGCGGCAGGAAGACAGTTCGATTGTGCGAAAAGGTCTTCGGCTCATCGTCCTGTGGCCCCGCTGGACCAGTGCTCAGCTTTCGTCTGTTCTGTGACAGACATTTTCACACACGATAGACAATAGCACAAGCCCAAACATGAATCAACATTAGAGGATCGTATACTTGTTTAGTTGTGTAAGAAAACAGCTGATACCGAACGAACTTCCGGTTGGTGAAGTAACTTCTTTCATTTGCAAGCATGTAGAGTAAGTTTAAAATAGCCGCCCAAATCATGGAATGTCTCATTAAGATCGCGAAGTTGGATGTATGAAAAAGTGACTAAGGTTGCAGTAGGCCACCTTTTCGCATTGGTTTAGTATATTTGTGTTCTGTTTTGTAAAATAAGTATGCTTGCTCTAATGATGTATGTAACTTTACAGACGAAAGCTGAGCATTGGGGTTGCGGGATGGTGAGCCGAGGGTTTATTCGAAATAAAGAAGTCTACTTTGTGAGTCCTCGTCCGGTTTCCGGTAAGACTGCATCACGAATTCCTTTAAATCAACTTTTGATTCGCAATGGAAAGTCGTGTCACGATACTCAATTATTCGAAATGTGTAGATTTCGAAAGTGCATACATGCCTTGAATAGGAACTCGAGTCATCTGGGTCGGTTAAGGTGAGGTTGGCGGCTGTACGCCAAACAACAATAGTCTGCTTATTTGGTAATAAATAATGTCAATACAAATCTGCCAAATCAACCACAATAATATTATAAAAATGTGAAGTTCACACGTGCCCAGTGACCATTTGACACAGGTTCCTGAAAAAAACCACATGTGGGTTGAGATAACCTATTTAAAATAACATTCAATGATGCCGCAGGATCTTCTATTCATTTCAATGTGAGGAATTCCACTATTCGTCTTCATACCACTTTAAAAACAGCCCTGAGTAAATCGAGTTCTGACGGTTGATT